CCCCCCCCCCCCCCCATAATACTGTCTTAAAAGTGGTCTCTGTCGCTTTGCACCAGAATCAACATCTTGGGTTCAGATCCTCGAATGAACCCCTTCAACAATGATTTCTTCAATGGGAGGTGCACGCGATTGAGGAATCCATACACTTCGAAGACTGACAGGCTTCCCTGGAATGTTGGTGTGCTCAACTATCAGGTCAGCTGAAGCCACTCATCAATTGTATCCCGAGGATGTGTTCACTATGTGTGTGTGTATTTGTGTGCGTGTAAAATGATGAACATACGGTACGTCGGTGAGGATGCAGAAAATTCCGTCTTCTCTTAATGCTCTCCATCTTTCCAGACTCTAGTGGAAGAAACCGCCTCTAGAGAAATCTATGAAGACACTCACACCTTCGTAGCAGAAATGCTGAAAGAGATGAGTGTTAACGTTGATGCTGGACTTTCCTTCAAATTCGGCAAAAGTGAGCCTTCCTTGTCTAAGTCGTCCGACGATTCTTCAAAGATAAATATAAACGTTGATTACGACAAGACAACAATCATTAAGAAGGTCTCAGAGTACTCCACCATTAAGGTAAAAAACAACAACATGGTGTTCTTCTCAAATAAACCCAGACCATCTGAATCTGTACTTACTAATTCTCTCCTGCACACTCAGAACAAGAGCTTCATGCGAGTGAAGGGCACAGTACAGCTGAGCATCTACAGGATGCGCTCTCGCGAACTCAAAACGGCCGATGAATTCCTGGAGCACGTCAACTCTTTGCCTCTGCAGTATGAGAAGGGGATTTATTTTGCCTTCCTGGAGGACTACGGAACTCACTACACCAGAAACGGGAAGACCGGCGGCGAATATGAGTTGATCTATGTTCTCGACCAGGACACCATCAAGGAGAAAAGTATGCGTATGCCCCGGTCTCTTTTCACACTACTTCCTCTGAAGTTGCTCTCATCCTCTGTAATGATTCTTGCAGATCTGACGGAGAGAACGGTTCAAGAATGCATCAAAATCGGAATCACAGCAGACTTTGCAGGCTCGGCTGCGGCCAACGCGAAGCGTGACAAATGTGATAAAGTGACAAACAAAGATGAAGGTTTGCTTTCCCTGTTATCATACGATAAGTTACTCATTTTTCATGCATATTCCTACGAAAGCCAGCAACACGTGTCAATTTCCGCTTGTTGCATGCCTTCCGTCTTTTCAAAGTGGACTTCCGTTTTCACAGGAAACAACAGTTAGGTTTAGGCAACACAACTACATCGTCGTTTGGGTTCAAATAACCTCGGAAGTGCCGTTACTGAAGTATGCAAATAAAATAACGTTGACTTCTCGTTTCACATGGGGAACGAACAAAGATCCATCTTTGTTTGTTGTATTTGTTTGTTGTATTTGTTGTATCTATCCAGCTCCCCTCCCGCCGGCTCTACGGTGCTTTAGCGGCCTTACTACTTCCTCGTTCATGATTACCTGCATCACATACAAAGTTATTTCGTGGGATATCTATGATTTACGGCACATTATTTTCCGTGGGTTCAGCTACAAATGCTGGATGAGACCAGCCTGAAATATGGAAGATTACATTGAGATAGACTTGCAAAAATCCAATCCAAACCTCTTAAACCAAACCTTATCGGTACATTGTGCACAGACCCTGAGATAAGTAGGAATAAGGTTTACAGTAATGTATCAAGTGCGTAAAGTCACTAAAAGTTTTCCCCTGTTGCTGCACAGATAGTGTTCACGGGAAAGCAGCGGTGGACGAGGTGATGACATCAGTCAAAGGAGGTACGCTGGCAAGTGCTGTTGCTATGCGGGCTAAATTGAATAAGGACGGAGTGATGGACATCGCCACGTATCAGAACTGGGCCCGGACCATCGCGGACAACCCTGCGCTGCTCCACAGTGAGGTAGCTATGACAGATGGATGAAGGCTACATCTTTATCGGTGTCACGCTATGATGACAATGTTTGTAGAGATGGCAAGTGAAATGGTGCACTGTTTGTTTTGGGTTTGTTTTGACAGCCAGAGCCCATCTATATGTTAGTTCCATTGGAAATGCCAGACGCTAACTCCAGGATATCCAACCTGAAGCAGGCCACTGCAGACTACGTGGCAGAGTATAACGTGTGCAAGTGTAAGCCTTGTCAAAACGGAGCCACTCTTGCTCTGCTGGATGGCAATTGTATGTGCCTGTGCCCTCACCTGTATGAAGGCTTGGCCTGCCAGAATAACAAGGCCGAAAAAGCTAAAAACCCAGGTAAGAGTAAACAGATACATCAAAACCTGGAGTATCCAAACATACCAACAAGGCCATTGTTATCTCATTAGCTCATTTTTGACTATGTTTTGCAGCCGGTACAATACCTACTGTTAATCAGGAAGGTAACTGGTCCTGCTGGTCTAGCTGGTCCAGCTGTAGCGGAGCGAAACGCACCAGGACACGCAGCTGTAACACAGATGGGCTCGTGAGAGCTGTGTGCAGAGGAGACTCCAACAGTGAAGAACACTGCTAAGAGGATGCAATACATCTCTGACAAACACACACACACACACACACACACACACACACACACACACACACACCCTTTGTCTGAAAGATATAAATCTAAGGATTTAAAGTCATCAACATTTTTGTTTTTACATGTTTGTTAGGAGAACAGAGCCATCTTGAGGTCAGTAATAGATAATGCAGTTTTTTTCATGTATAGATAGTATTTTTTTTGTTCATTTTTTGTGATTTAAATGGATGAAGTTTGAGTTTACAATATCAATTGTAAATATGTACACATATGGATTTAGCATAAATAAGATCTGTTAAACTTTTAAAAAGTGCACTGCTACAAAACAAGTATCAGACATAAGTTGTATAATTTGAATAAAGATGTGCACCACAGTTCCCTACCTTACCAACATTCATTTTTTTATGTTTTATTCTGCCAAGATCTTACACATTGCATCCTTAGTCAATAGATCGGTCTTACTTTTAGATCGAGAAGAACTTTGACTGCTAACAACACGTTAGTTGAGTTAAAATAGTGTTGGCCAAAGTATGTATTAATGGGCTAATAACTCATCTTTAAAGGCATGAGCACATTCCAGCTGGCTGTGCTGTGCAAATGAGAACCAGATGAGTAGAAGCAGGGTGGACAGAGAACTGACAGAACAAGTAGACTTTAAGGTGTTTGACATAAACATGGCATAAAGAGAAACATTATATGTGCGTTGTATTTCTATTTACAGTCCCTGAAACCGCGTTCACACATGAACTCATACATGTTATGATGATCTTCCAACAGGTGTTATTTGGAGCAGATGGAGTCCATGTTTTTTCTTAAAGTGAAACTCTTCAAGTGGAAACAAAAGCAGCACCATAATACATAAAGAAACATCTAATACAACCTGCTTTAAATTAACTGAATCTCTGTGATGGTAACATATGAGGGGAAAAATCATTGAAGTTATTAAAAACAAGTCAAATGACAGCAAGAAATTGAAATGAAGATTAAAATACAGTCTATATTTTACATGTATATGTTGGATTTACATGGAGAGACAAATACCAAATGATAGGCCCTTTGAGATGTCACAGTAGTAAAAGCACAGGTATAAAGGATACAATGTCTGCTGAGAAAAGAGTCTTTAAAAATCATTACCACTAGTGGATTTTCTTTTACAACGGCCAGAAGGGATAACTGTCATGTTTGTTTAGCTTAGCAGCCTTTGATTACCATGTTTGCTCATGGATTTAGTCATTTAGCGGCAACACTCTGCAGGCATGACTGGAGATCCTCGTGCCAGAGGAGGCCTTGTTAAACAAACAGCAGTACCAGCGTACTGTTACAGCCTTGCACAATATTTAGGAATGTGCACAGACCTGTAAAAAGAGACATTTGCTCATAATCATTTTTTCATTTCTGCTTATTTTAGAGGAAGTAAAATTGTTGGCCACTTGTTCTCAATCCTACAGATCCTTATTTAAGCTGTCAAACACTGGACTGATGTTGAGCCCTTTATGTTATTAAAACCCTTTCCAGTTTTGAATAAAGGAAACAGAGCACATAAGTCCTGGATATAGTTTAGGACTTTGTGAATTTGTTTTTAAAATTACCTGAGCAGCTTTGGATCTCGCATTTTTGTTAATTCTCTCAGTACGCTTTCTGTGAATATTGCCTCCTGTCATCACTTAAATAGAGAGGAGTTTAAGTCCAAAAGAGAGTGCGCGTGTGTGTGTGTGTGTGTGTGTGTGTGTGTGTGTGTGTAGTGGGGGGTGATGAATGCATACTTGAGAGGTAACCACTGGGGGTGGCACCCCCTGGCCCTTAGGATGTCAGCATAATGGAGTAAAACTTTGGGACCTTATTGAGCTCCAGGGAGACCCCATTCACTCCGGACAGCAACCCGGCCTCAAGCCATTATCTTAGTCTAAAATGTTTTGTTCTTTCTTCAGCCTTCAACAGAACAGTTAGCACAAAATAATGAACCCCTCTTGGTCGATAGACTGCCCGATCCTCTTTTTACTTATATTTATTCATACTAAAAACTGAGTAGCAATCGTAAATGAAGAAACCCTCCAAAACAGGAACGTATGATATTTGCGTGTAATAGGTTATTTGTAAAATATACTTCATTATGTGAAAGATACACATTTGCCATCTGGGAAAATGTGCCGTCTCAAAATCAATGCTTTTTTTTGTTGCAATTAAAAAGAACATCTGGGGGGAAACATCTTCATGGCCGACTGCAAAATTTACAGCTCGAAGACATTAAAAACATGATACTTTTCAAAGCTTAAACAGCTCCAGAGAAAAGAAATACCTTGGCAAACAGAGTAGTTCATATTACTTCATAACAACTTAAATCTACAGTTATTCACTCTGCAACGTGGTTCCCAGCTAGAAAATGAATTTGAGGTTGCTTTCAAAACAACCATTGTTGTATCGCCTCATAAACACATAGTCCTCGCTTTCAATGGAGGAGAGGTAAGGGATTTTTTTTTTTTTTTAACAAAAGCCCTTAGAAGGGTGTGAAAGGAGCCCCCTCGCACTCCTAAACGCCTGGACACAGTTGGAGGTGCCCCCTCCCCACTTCCCTGGGTCACTAAAGGCATTGAAGTTTTAGAGGGCTGCTACGGCAGATTACTCCACACAGCTGTCCCAGCACCGTGGAAATGAAGTTATGCCCCTTGTCAGCTATGTTTTGTCCAGTTTCTCCCTGACCCCCCTCCCCTCCCCTCCCCTCCTGTTCTTCTCTCACTCCTTTGCACCACTGGTGCTCTTTGGCTGCAGGAGGGATCAGGGGAGGCAACTAAAGGACAATCCCTCCAGCCACGACAGATAGAGAGAACCTATCCGATTGGTTGATTAAATATTCCCTCTGTGCATCATTATACGGAGAGGATTGAAATCCCTGACATTCAACCCAGTGCAGCCCCTCTCCCATACCACTCCCTTCCCCCATGAACCCTCAATCATAAATCAACCCCTCCTCCCCCTTTCCCACCTCTCTAAAAGCTCAGGGTGCTGCCTTCCTCAAGTCCACCCCCCCAAAACCTCCAATTATTGTGGGTCACTGGGGGTTTCTCACTTTGCTTTTTTCGCAAAGTTTGTGTATTTTTAGTTAAAACTGAACCGTAACCCAAGTAAGATGCTTCAACTCTGCGAAAAAGAGAGTTGCAGTTTGAACTTAAGTCGAGAAAACAATCGTACAAGATTGATTCACTTTTTCCAAAGTAAAGAATGAACTGTGGACCTCAGCAGATAAGGTTTCTAAATCACAATTACTTGTTAGATTTGCAGAAACACGACTATGATTTTCAATTCTTTAAGGGACAGTGTGTGGGATTTAGTGCCATCTAGCGGTGAGGTTGCAGATTGCAACCGGCTGAATACCCATCCGCTCACCCCTCCCTCTCCGAGGCTAAGGTAACATGAGCTGTCGAGTGCTAAACCGTGGTGACGACGTGGTACCACGGTTTTACACTCGGTGGAGCAAGTTTAAGCAGTTTCACAACTGGCCTACAGTGGCCAGGTAACGTGAAAGGCCCTCTCCAGAGCCATAGTTTTGTTTGTCTGTTCTGGGCTACTGTAGAAACATGGCAGATTGAAGTGATACTACATCATGAAAACAGTTAACAGAATATTATATTCCTTTCGTTCTAATAGATCCCCCTCAATCCTACACAGTATTCCTTTAAGTATCACCGTCTCACCGACTCCATCTCACTTTGGGATCTCATGAATCAGACCTGAGTGCAACTGAATTAGAGGCATGTCTCTTTATTCCACGACTGGCAGTTTGAAAATAGGCTCAACAGGAAAAAGTCAGTTTGGTAGCTGAGCAGTTTTTAAAATATTTTGCAAAGTTCCTCTGGGACTTTAAGAGTAAGGGCATTGTTGTATTACTACTGCACTAACCAAACTTAAGAACAGTGGAGAATAGGCCCAAGTAAATTCTCCTTCCAAAAACGTTTTAATTAGATGGCCATTCAGTGTTATAGTATACTAATGTATTGGGGAAATTATGATTCACATTACGCCAGTGGCTAATAAAGAGAATACATAAAATCCAGCTAAAGTAAGTATGTTTGCTTTTCCTTAGTGTATCCGAGAGGAGGAGGGGTTCAGGGCGGGACAGAGTGGAGGTCGGCCAAGCAGCAGTTTGAGTTATGATGAGGCAATTTTAATGATGTTCTGGTCCCTGCACCAAAAGCTCTTCTGTTTCGGCATGGGAAAAAACACACAACATTCCTATTTTTCTCTGGTGCCAAAAGTTAATTGAAAACATTTCAGGGCAAAGTATGGTCTGGGGCCCCATATGAAACGCAGCCCTTCATTATCCCCAACAATGATAAAGAAGGCATTACAATTATTAATGGTTGGAGCAGAGGCCTTCCCTCTTAAAGTGACAGTGCCAGGCTTTTGCTTCTCACAACAAAGGCCCTGAAATGCCTTCACTACATCACTTTGTTGGTATTTTTTTAACAATCGCTATCTATTGAAGACTGTTTAAAGCCTAATGATAGCTTGTCTTTCTTTTTTTTTTGGATTTAAGTCATTGTATAATCAAGAGTTTCAAACTATATTAATGTTATCCTCATAGCTTCAGAGAGAAGTTATCAAAGGCCACATCTAACTGTCAGAGAACTCTTTTGCATTAATGAATGTATATCAGCTGGAGTTTGACCGAGTAATAAAGCTGAACTTTCTCACATAACTCCTCCGTCTTCCTCTGGGATAGCTGTCTCCTCGTGCTCCCCCACTCCCTGAAAGAGGTGACAGAGTGAATGAAGTGCCCCCACATTGTGCCGCCGCACCATTGTGTATTTTGCATCTCCATAATAGAGGTGCCACTCGACTTCGCTTCCAATCAATGGGCTGGAGGGCCCATCTCTTTTCCTTTAAAAGCAACATGGCTGCCATCAATAGTTTCAAGAGCCATTATCACAAGTGAAGGAGGAGGACACTGGCTTTTTTGTAAGTATAGAGAGCTGACTGTCTCATAACATGAGTCACGGGCATGTAAACAGATGCATGAACCCATCCTATAGTCAGATTACGACATGCTGTCTTCTAAAAAACTGTTAGCACATTTGTGTCGTATAAAAGTACATCTTTCTCAGCAACCACTGTCAAGTAATGTTCTGCATGTTGGAACAACTGTACAGATTAAACATAATTATGGTGAGCCTACTGAGCTTTCCAACTGTTGATTTAGAAAACAAAAAGTCACTTGAAGGTGATTTACAAATAGTGAAAGCAGGTAAACTATTTTTTCATTGTTTTAAGGCCCATAAGTCTACTGAGTAGTACTCGTTCTTAATACTTACATAATGCATCTCATAGTCAATAAAGTAAATTCAAAGAATACCCAAAAGAGCTGTGTCTGGAAAGGAATCATTTTGGCAAAGGCATCTAAGTGCAACGTGTTAAAACCAGTGAAACGTTTCTGAAATTGTACCTTTCAGTGACACACGGCGAATAATTGTGTTAAATGCCTTCAGAAAAGAGTTGGTCCCAGATCCATCTGACCAAAGTAGTAGTAGTAGTAATAATCAGGAAAAACAAGTTTTGGACTTTTTTCAAATTATTTATGTAATCTGAGGTACTTACATTTGACAAAAACAGAACAGAGATTACTGCAGAATCACCAACATTTCTTTGCACTCCTTTAATCGATGTGTAAAGCCTACTATCAAAAAAACAAAGGGATTGAAATTTAAAGACAGAGCCACAAATGAATCATTTTAAAACTGGTCTTTATTTAATGTGCCTGTACATTCAGAGGAGTGTGTTGGGCACTTGATATCTCCACCCACCCGCACGCAGACAGCTTTTATTTTCTCAGAGGGTCTTTTGTGAAGACTTCTAACAAACACACGGGGTGAGGATAAACAAACTGACCGAGCAGATCCTTGGCTCCATTTGTGCTGCAAATCCCCGAGAGGAGGAGGAGTTCACCTTCCTCTCGTCTGTTTGAATAGTTTTACTTTAAACCTTTATGCAAACATCCACGTTTACAAGGTCAAGTGTGTCACTCTGGTATCTGCCCTGGGATTTAGACACATGGCAGTGGCTTACATCAACTTTGGCTTTTAATGAAGGGGTTGTGGGGAAAGTCTCTGTCCAGCTGGTAAAAGAAAACTGCTCAGCTTTCACAGCACGCCTCTGATATGGTCACATCATGGTGAATTGGGCCAGTTTTAAGACTTTTAGGCACTTTCAAACAGTTTCCCTTCCTGTGTGGCCTTAATGCAGTGAAAGAGTGGGACTCATCTATTCATACAGTGCAAATCTTTTATCACTCATAAAGATATATTCTGACAAAAAATAAAATTTTATACAATATACTGTACAATTTATCTTTACATAGCTGACATACACAAAAAAATAGGCTCCTTCGGCATTATCAGATGAAATATAACATTTGAGTGATTTACAAACGTGTCCTGAATTGTATGAACTTGTGCAGATCAGAAAGTTAAGTGTTGAATTTAAAAGGCCCACATGTTAGTTTAAGGACAAAAAAATGGGTGATTACAACAAAGCAGACAGATTCTAGTGAGTTGATTTTTAATTCCAACAATGAGTCTCTGGCTTTCCAGCAGCCTTTTCAGATAAATTTGGTTAAAACCAAAATGGTGGTCAGGACATTTAGGACAGTCTGACAAGGTGGGGAGTCACTCGAGTTTTCTACATATTGATAATCCTCCTGGTCGAAGTAATCGTCTTCGGAATCGTCCTCGGTGTCCGATAAGCCGCTTCCCGTGAACCTATCGCTCGAATCCGAGCAGAAAGTTTTCATGCTGACTTTGATGTACTCGCATATGTTCCTCTCCGTGCCGTCGCACTCACAAGTGTCGAGCTGCTGCGCTTTCGGTATGGAGCGCATGTCGGCGATCACTCTGCGGCAGCCGTCCGAGCACCTCTCCCCTCCGAACAGCTTTCGGCAGTGGAATAAGTAATCCCTCATGGCAGAGCTGCACGACTGGTCCATCTCGCACTGCCGCCGGGCCTCGGTGCAGCCCACGGTGCTGGTCCGCGGCAGACACGGCTCGATGGCCTGCTTGGTGGCCCTGCAGACCGGGTCCACGGCGCAGTCGCAGTCCTCCAGACCCGGCCCGCTTTGGGTCATATTGAGCTGAATGAGAGAGGATATGCAGTGGCTGGGACACTTCTTGCGGTTCCCGTTGAGGACAGACGCGCAGGCATAAAGGTACTGGTCGTACGCGTAATGGCACTCCGGCTCTCCGTGGCACTTCAGGATGGCTTTCCAGCAGACCAGCCGACGGCTGTGGTTAGGAGACGCGACACATAGACCGAAGATTAGGATCAACACACCGCTTATCAAAACCGCCGTCCGACCCATCAATATGGCACGACTTGTCATTTCCAGGAAGAATGAATCTTAAAAAAGTTCGACTTCATGTGGGCTTCTGTAGTTCCATCGCGCGGCGTCAAAACAACGTTCCTCCTAGATGGTTTCATATCCTGTCACAGCTGGAGACGCGAAGTCAACGAGGAGCCGCAAAGCGAGCTGGTGAAGGGTGACCATAACAAGACAATCGTGTTAAGGTAAAAAAAAAAGAAGTCAGAGTTGCGAGAAAAGTTTTCCAGTTCTGGCCAGTCCCCGTCTGGTGCAGCAGACTTCACGTGCGGTGTGTATCAGACTGTTCAGCACCCGCAAAGACGAGCTAAGCTTTTTCTAAACTTAATCCCAAAACTTCTCCAAAAAAAAAAGTACCGAGATAAATCCTTGCGCTTAAAGTCACTCATCCGCTTCCACCTCCAGCCCGCATCCACTCGAGCTGCAGCAGCTTTGTGATGAAGGCGGTGTGGTGATGGGCTCATTAGGTTTCTGCGACGAGCCGCTCAGATTGGTCCGATAAACTCTTGAGATTCTGTCGTCACACGCGGGCTGTGACGCAAGCAGCTGTTTTTAAATACAAGTTACAGAAAATAAACTTTCTGCAGCATTACCTTATAAAGAATAAACTGAAACGTAAATGTATTCACCCATTTGTGTTTTATGAGAAAACACAATACAGTTGGTGCTATTATTTGGAGTCCATCTGGAGTTTATAACTGTTGATATGGTGGAAGAAGTACCTAGATCTTTTAGGCTAAAAGTAGTAACACCACAGTGTAAAATTTGACTTAAGTAAAAATACAGAATTATAAGTATCCAAATATACTTAAAGCACCAAAAGTAAAAGTAGCCATTATGGCTGTATATAATATTAATGGACTATGTTAGGCTATTGATTCTTTAATGTGTAGACCTACATCATTTTAATTTTGCATCTGGTAAACAAGTCTTATCTTATATATTTTGTATTAATAATGTGATTATGTTCAATAATGTACAATAAAATGTAGTGGGGTGGAAGTATAATGTAGCTGTATTTAAGTATCTTACTTTGTTACTTTCCACCACAGTTGTTCTCGCAGTGGTAAAAGGTAGATCAGTTTCTCACACCTGCTTTGAGCGCCGTCGTATCTAATGAGGCACAGCTCCTTTAGAAAACACTGGGATTGTGTTGCCTCCCCGCAGGAGGAGACGACAGCTGTTACAACACATGCAGAAGCTCCCGTCTTACACTTTTACACCATGAAACGTAACAAGCCTTGATTGCAGCTGTGACACTGCGTACCCGTGAACACTGCACACATTTGCACACCCCAATAAAGACACGTCAGCTTGGAGGTTGAGTGTGGTTTCCAGAGATGGAGGTGGAAAAGCACCAGGGGCCTTCACACGAGAAAGGTAAAGGGAAAAAAAAACACATTTGGCTGTTTTTTACTGCCTATTCTGCGCAAGTGTAAGCAGCGGTGTGAAATCCTAAAGACCCAGTACTTTACCTTTTGGTAAGGGTATTTCCTATTTCCTTACAATAACACTTAACAAGGAAAAAAAGAGTGTGAAGAGGAATAACAACTTCAGCGGTGTAAACAAACACCGAGCATGAAGCCACTCGGAATGAAAACAGAGTGTGTCTGTTGGGGCCTCGAGGCCGACGGAACAGAGCGTCAAAAAGAAAACCATTCAGTCGTTGGGATAACTCTGTTCGTCTGACCCCCGTCACATCACCACACTATGACCACAAAGATCTGGCAGCTCTCAGGGGTCCCTCAGACCCCCTCGATTCCAATTAGAGAGATTAGACAGGAGTCAAGACAAGTGCAGAAGAGTTTCTTAGCCAAACAACCCCATAACAGCCCCCCTCCGCCACCTCCTCCAGCTGGCATACCAGAGCAACAGGAGGACTGCAGACTCAATTTAGAGCGACATCAAAGTGGAGGTTAGAGAAAGCCCAAATGGTGGACTGCTCCAAGGGTCTGCATTAACTACAAAGAGCCCGACATCAGCCCAGACTGCTCAGGCCAAAGATGGCTCTTAACAGAGATAGATATGGGCGGTGTGAACGCGACTATTCAAGTTGTGTTTCTACTTTAATTTAGTTACTTTTACCCTTTGTAGAGCCACACACACTCCGATGCACAAAGCCTGTCTTTTCAACAACAAAAGCTAAAGAACACACCCTGGGCCGCAGTTGCTTTTCACTTTTAAGGAGGAGTTCATAACACAGAGCAGAACCAAAGTCCCATCGGTGTTGGATGGCGGCCAGATGAGAACAACGGCCAGATTGAGTGGAGCCAGTAGCTCTGTATGATGGAGCAGGCAGCTGCTCTCCCCCAAACTGTGCCTCTTAAATTGCTCTTATACATCCTTTAACTTGTACACCAAACTTCTCAGATTGTTTCGAGGGAAATATGCGGCCAGTGTCCTTTGCATTCTTGTCCTAAACTTATTTCAGACGAGTACTTCCGGATATGCGTCCCGTAGGCCTACATGCGGTCGTTCACGGCGACTTGCATATAATAGTGTTTCCAGAAGTGGAATGCGGGTTCCCGAGAGTAGATTTGCAAATACTCATGCAGAGACAGACATGCTCTTCAGTTTGTCTCCACTGCTGTCAGAAGTCATTACACACAAGCTGCAATGCCAGAACAATTCACTGAACTTTGTATTCAAGTGCTTTCAAGCCTGTAGAGAGGCAGAGAGAGAGAGAGAGAGGGGAGAGAGGGGAGGGAGGGAGGAAAAGGAGTCAATATTAAAAAGCTGCCAAGTGTTTTTCTGCCTGCATTTTTTCATTTCTCTGTGGTTCATGGAAACTTCTCAGATGTCTGTCTTAGACGTGCTGATATTTTGTCTTCATTCTTTTCGCATGAAAGAGAGGAGTTTATATGCTTTTCGCTGAAAACAAGAAAATCACTTGCATGCAGTCATGACATTTGTCTGCAGTAAGTGTCATTTTGAATCAAGTCAACAACACGGCACTGCAGAGATTCTGTTTTCTGGTATGTGACTGAAAAAATAGACAAGACGGATCAAATCACCTGGATCAAAGTGAGTTTAGCCCCAAACAGCCGCATAATGTCGGCATGTCGGTCAACTACCCATGACTGGGTCGTGAGTGTGTATAGACATTCATGATCCTCAGAGGACAAATCGTAGAGCTTTTGGTGATGCTGTGAAGTTTTTGTTTTCGGGGGGGCTCTGCGGTTCAGTGGCATGCAACGTAAGCACTCGGCTACCAAGGGACTCCTTCATTTGTTTTTGTTGTGAAATGTATCAACAACTTTGAATGGATTGACATCAAATTTGGTACTTGGTATCTTGCGCCACCAACAGGTCAAGTTTTTCGCTTATCAAGTGAATTATCTTCATTGCTACAAAATCTCATACGGACATTTTTAGTTCCAGAGCAATGCTTTCAAATGACTTCGGTGATCCAGTCCTTTCCATTGTCATTAGCATTTAGTTGAACAGCATCATTTTCTCTCCCAGTGTTGTCATTTGTGTGTGTTTTTGTGTGTTACTCCCCATACTGTTATCACATGTTCTGAGAGTGCATCCCTCTGGGGGAAGCCACGCACTGCGGCAGGCAGGAAAAACATCTGACTTTGAACTCACAAAAGAGAACAGAGCCACAAGTTCAAACATGGGTCACTGGGGCTGTAAAGTAGCCAAGAGCACTCAGAAACTTGGCATCTTTGAAGCCAAAAGATTGTTAGGTGGTGTGATGCGAGGATGAACAGATCAATTGTTTTGTTGGTTTCCCATTAGCAAGGCTTTATAGATTAATTTGACTTGTTTTACAGCAGATTAATACCATGACAGGGAGTAAAGATTACATTACAAAAAGCTTCACGTCAGGGTTGATATTGTTTCACTCAAGGATTTAGCAGGAAAGCAGATGTGGCTGTTAAATAGATTGGATCAGATAGTTAAACTCCAGACAGAGAGGTAGAGGCTGGCTTCACCATCACAAAGGATGGTATTCGATAGTGAGTGCTGTAGTAGATTGATGACACTTGCAGTAAAATCTGTGCTAGGAGGAACAATGGAACTCCCCAGGGTTGCTTAGCCCTGCAGTATAGAGACACTTGGTGACAGTGGTCTGGTAATGATAAGATAACAGAGCCATTTCTTTTCAAAGAGGGGAAGATATAAAGCCACACAAATTTCCCCGGAGGTAAAGAAGCTATCTGTGTGTAAAAAAAGGAGGAGCTGTTACAGAAGGAAAAGAGAGGGCAGACACGGGTGTTTAGCATTTGTATGAAATCTGACTTCACCTCTCCAAACTCTGGTCATGTTTCTCCTCAAGAGGAAATAGCTCCTCAGAGATAAGAGGCTCCTTCATCGACTGCTGTGAATAAGTTTTAATCAGCGCTATATTATGTTGATGTAAATGAATACAGACAGTTTGATCAGGCAAACTCTCCATGTGACTGTGTAATGACTACTTATGCCAACCACAATGTTAAGTGTTGGGGATTGATGAGAAGATCGATGACACTTTCATATCTGCAAAGAATGAGGCTACAGCAGACGGCAACCTTCGGGTCTGCAAAGTGAAGCCAATACAGAAGTGCCTTAAGCTTTCTTTCCTTCTAATGGCCAGCAGGGGGCGACTCTCTGATAGCAAATAGAAGTTTGATTGTATAGAAGTCTATGAGAAAATTACCCTGCTTCTCACTTGATTTATTACCTCAATGAGCGTTGTAAACATGAGTTTATGGTCTTAATCGCTTAGTTTTAAGTCTTTGTTAATACAGCACGATTTTTATTTTGTAAATCCTGGTCCCATTTAGAGTCAAATAGACCATAAAGCCGGGTATGCTTTAGGGCGGGGCTACCTTGTGACAGGTCGACACCACGGCGTTGTCTGGTCTGGGAGTTGTCATGTTTTTGTCTTAGAACTTTAACCCTTTCACAGCGTGTTTTCACAAAGTTAATTGGAACATTTTGGTCACCTAAAAGCATTAGTTTGTACATTTCAGTTTGCAAAGAAGAAAGATGGCGACAGCCAAAAACCAAGATGGCGAAGTCCAAAATGCTGGTCTTGAGGTTTCAAAACCGTAGTTTAAAACCATCGGGTGACGTCACGGAGACGACGTCCACTTCATTTGGATAGTCAATGGGCTACAGCTAGCAGCCTGTTAGCTAAGCTTAGCACAAAGACTGGTAAAAGGGGGAAACAGTGAGTTGGGCTCTGTCAAATGGTAACAGAATACCCCTCATAACAAGAGTATTTCTAAAGTTCACTAACACCTTATATTTCACTTGTTCATTGTTATGTTCGGACAAATATAGGGATTTCAATCTATTACTGTGCTTTTAAGCCAGCATAGAAAGATCTTATGTTTTCTTAAAAGATATGAGATACTTTAGTCTGAGCTAGAAGGGATCATTGTGGGATTATTACTCTGCATGCACGTACGCACACAGTACAGTCCTATAGAGCTGGAGA